TTTCTGGACTACTGGCTGTTTATTGGATAAAGTATTAGTTACTCAGATCACAAATGGAACGCTGAAAAATACGCCACCAAAACAAACCAGGGAGATGCTGGTCCTCGTAGTCAACCGCCGACCATTCTGTGTTTATCTTGTTGCTATGGCGTGTGGAAACATAGCGTGACTTTAGTGCATGGAATCTCCTGGAGCTATACTGTAGGTTCAGCCAAATCTAGAAGGTCACAGGGTCAGCCGCTCCCTATTGCAATTAATGTGCCTTCATCGGCCGTCCTGTGCATGTAACACCGGCAACGTCCCTGGCAATCGGCAGTTTGGCTTGCAGTCAATACGAACCGCAGCCTCTGCGCAACGGCAGGGTTTCTGTTCTTGTCAACTACTGCAGCGGTTCTGGCCATCAAGCAACATATTCTCTCTGCTCAGGCGTCTCAGACCTAAGCTGGTGCCGTCGATCGCAACATGGACTTTCTTGCCAATGGGCGCCTATCCTGCGCCATGTTAGGTTCCCGTCGCTCATCATAGGCGTTTAGCATTGCAGTTTAATAATGACAGTATAGTTTTTCAGAGAGATATGGTTACAGCATTTCGGAGTAACCGATGCGACACGCGTACGCGCGTTAGTTGGATGGCAACTGGGGCAAAGACCGTATAATGCGACGCTGTCGGCGGTAACGCTGACCACCTACAATTCCACAACGTTAAATCCCTCATGAAGACGCTCTCTCGCCATTGGCGCTTTGCCGAAATGGATAGTGATATTTCATCAGACCAGAAACGGTGACACAGCTATCATCTGCCAGCAGAATTAGAGAAAGCATTGTATTAGATATCTGTGCGCTCAGTGAAGTGCGACGTCCCGGCTCAGGCAATATCGTTGAAAGGAGTCACACAATCTACTGGAGTGGAGGAAAAGAGAAAGCAGCAGGTGTTGGTTTTGCTATCTCCAACAAACTAGCTCCTCAAGGTATCAATCTGATACCAATCAATGACAGGCTTATGCCAGTGCGCATACAGTTGAAGAGTGGCGAACACCTTACACTTATCAGCGAATATGCACCAACTATGCAAAGAACACATGAAGACAAAGAACAGTTTTACGAGCGGCTTGGCACTTGCATTACAGCAGCTAAAGATGACAACATCATAGTTCTAGGTGATCTTAATGCTCGTGTTGGCATAGACTGGAAATCGTGGCCATCTGTCATTGGTACACACGGCGTTGGTAATATGAATTCAAATGAACTAATGCTATTAGAGTTCTGTACCAGATTTCAGCTTACAATCATGGGTACAATGTTTCAACTTAAAGACAGCCTGAAGAACACATGTCAGCACTTGCGGTCAAAGCACTGGCATCAGATTGACCCTGTACTAGCAAATCAAGTTGCGAAGCAACACGTCATAGTGACCAAAGTCACTAAAGCAGCAGACTGCTTCACTGATCACAAGTTGATTGTTTGTAAGTGTCATTTCTCCATAAAACCAAAGAAGAAAGACACAAAGCCTCCCGAAAAGCTGACCTCAACAATGAAAGAAAAGAAATACTGGAACAGTTCTTGAATGAAAAATTGTCTGATTGCAAAGAACATTGGGAAGATCTTAGAGAAGTGCTTCAAAATGCAGCCAAAAACGTATTTGGAAAGAAGGAAAAGAAACAGAATGACTGGTTTGACGAGCAGGATGGAGAAATCAGAGAGCTACTTCAAAACGAGAAACTGAACAGGAATGCTCTTAGAGAGCGTATCAGAAAGCTAAAGAATGACTGGTTCCAGCGAAAAGCTGAAGAAGCAGTTTTTCTCACAGAAAAATAACCATAGAGAATTTTATGCCACTCTCAATGCTGTCTACGGTCCAAGAACTAAAAGCTCCCATCCTGTTAGATCAAAAGATGGCGAGCTCCTGACTTCACCAGATAGCATCAAGGACAGATGGGTAGAGCATTTCAGTGATCTTCTGAATCAACCAACTGATGTTGATTTAAGCATCTTGGATGACATAGAGGAACATCCAATTATTGCGTCCTTCGATGATCCAATCTCAGAAGAAGAGCTAGGTAAATCTCTCAAGAACACCACATTAGGAAAAAGTCCGGGCCCTGATGGAATACTCCCTGAAGTTCTTGTGCATGGTGGCGCTCGTTTGAGAGCTTTCCTACTTGTAATCTTTCACATCTTCTGGAGAACAGAGGAGATTCCCTCTGACTTGATTGATCATAACATCACCATCCTGTTCAAGAAAGGCGACAGAAGTCAGTGCGGCAATTATAGGGGTATATCACTTCTAAGCGTAGTTGGTAAAGTCCTAGCAGACGTCATCTTGCAGAGATTACATCACCTTGCAGAGAAGATATACCCACAATCTCAGTCAGGGTACCGCAGGGGCAGAAGTACTGTGGATGGAATCTTCACCCTTCGACAAGTAATGGAGAAAACGAGAGAACAGCGCAGAAGTTTGTATATAGCTTTTGTGGACTTCACTAAAGCGTTTGACAACGTCAATTGTGAGCTACTCTTTATCAACCTGAATAAGCTGGGCTGCCCACCAAAGTTCATAAGAATCATCAAGAAGCTATATACGAACGTGCATGCAAGGCTCATTGTAGATGGTGAACTCACACAGGCCTTTGAGTACAACAGTGGTGTCAAGCAGGGTTGTAAGCTAGCACCAACACTCTATGGCATCTATGCAGCTGTTTTGCTTTGTCTTGCTTATAAGGAAATCAAGCACACCTGCAGTGTAAAGGTCAGATTTCGCTATGATGGTGATCTATTTGATCTTCGAACACTGAAGTCAAAGACAAAAGTTCTTACCGAGTACATCAGGGAGGCTCAATATGCAGACGATATAGCCATATTCAGTGACACTTCAGCGGGACTACAGTTGTTACTCACAGCTTACAACAACCTTGCTAAGAAGATGGGACTACGTATTAACACTGCAAAGACAGAGACCATGTGCATTGGTACTGAAGCTGAGTTCTTCATAGCTGACACCAAGTTGGCAAACGTCACCCGCTTCAAATACCTTGGCAGCTATGTAACAAATGACTGCTCTATGAAGGAGGAACTTGCAGCTCTTATCCAAGCAACATCATGTGCTTTTGGTCGACTACGTCAGTGTTCAACTCACGTGACCTCACAATAAACACTAAAGTCAAAGTCTACAACCAGTGTCTTATGCCACTTCTGATGTACGGCAGTGAAACCTGGACTCTGTACCATCACCAAGTTCGACAGCTGAGAACAATACAACAACGTCACCTGGGCTTAATCATGCATATTAAATGTTACATCATGCATAAAAAATATTACATCAGTAACGAGGAGGTCCTGAACAGAGCGGGTGTTGAAGACATCGAGTTGAAGCTTGTTAGAAGTCGTCTGCGTTGGCTTGGACACATCTGTACCAGCAAAGGCACTCGTATACAGCGAGCTAGCAAATGGATCCAGATCTGTTGGTTGTCCTAAATTGAGATATAAGGATACCTGCAAAGGTGCTTTGAGGTGTGGTAATATTCTTGATCAGTGGAGGAATGTTGTAGACAACAGACAGGAGTGGAGAGGTCTTGTGCATACAACTTGTGAATGCTTCAACATAAAGAGAATCAAACAGTATGAAAGAAAAAGTGAACGAAGACTAAAGAATTTGAAAAAAAGATGATCTATGAACTTTATAGCAATAGATATTTGTACTACATTATTATTCTGTGTAATGCCCGTTTCGGGCTCTCACTAGGCGTATATATATATATATATATTTGCTTGGATTAGTCGACGCAAATTATAGGTTTATTTACATCGATGTTGGAAGTAATGGTAGAGCTAGTGATGAGGTGTTTATCGAAACTCCTCTCTGAGCATGGCTATGGAAGGAAACACCGTAAGGACGTAATACCACAGGGGAAAAGTCTTGGTAATGACAATACTCAGTCTATGACTATAGTGGCAGATGATGCTTTCCCTCTTAAACGTTACATGATGAAGCCATACGCGAGACGAGGGCTTGATGGAAACAGGCGAATATTTAATTACCGACCATCACGGGCACGTAGAGTTGTGGAAAATTATTTCGGAATTTTAGCTAACCGGTTCAGAGTATTCCACATGGCTATTGCACTTTCTCCTGAAAAAAACTAAACTGTTAGTCCTGGCAACATGTGTGCTTCATGACTTTCTACTGGGTGATACTCCTGATATGATGTATGACCAGGAAGACCCAATAACCCATGAAGTACGTTATGGATCATGGAGGGAATCTGTAGGCATAATGAGCTCTGTGACTCAACTCAGCCCTAACAGAAGCTTAGCTCCACGAAACGGTCTTTGCTAGGGTTAGAGGACCCTAGTGTGTATATTGACGTTAGTCACACAGCATGGTCGGGTTACTGCGGTGCTAGCTCCAGATTTCCTTTTATTCACTTTAGCATATTCTCGGATGAAATATGTGCGAAGGTTGTTAATTTTTCTCTTTACTTCAAAATCTGAAAAATAAAAAATAATACTAATTAAAGTTCAACTTGTGCAGTTCAATAAATAGCCACATATTAGGCATATTTCGACAGGTAAATACCTTTATATATTATATTAAATAACTTCAATAATTTTATCCTGCGTTTTAGATGCTTATTTCAACGAAATTGTGCCGAGTTCTGCTCCGAAAACTTTCACAAATTCAAAAACTTCATTACGCATGCGCGAGCGAAATGACGTCAGATGCGAACTTCCGTTTCTTGCTCTAGCTTTTGTTTTCATGTAAACGAACACACTTTGATTTCATCCGACACATCGTAACCTCATTTCGAATAGTTTTCAAACGTTCAAAGGACTGAAACGAAGACGGGGGCTGACAGAGAGTTGATCAGATCATTAGATCACTGCGGATCGCGGCCGAAAAGGTCTCATCACGATGACTTATTGCTGTGTTGTTGGCTGTCGTGTGTTACTTTGTACGCTGGTCATGGCTTCTCTCTACACAAGTTTCCAAAAGAGAAGAAACTTCGAAAAGCATGGGTAGCGGCAATTAAGCGCAAATCATTTGAGCCGAATGAACATAGCCGTGTGTGTGAGAAACATTTTCGGCCAGATGCGTTCGTTATGGTGCCGTCGTTAGCTAGAGCAGCTGGTTATGACCGGATCACGATGAAAAGGGGAGCTGTACCTACAGAGCATTTAGTGCTGTCGGATTTACACTGTCGGATAACAGCAGCGATTGTGTTTATGGAATGGCACAGAAAAAGCCAAATAAACATTGCAGAAGTGTAGCATTTGCTAAACGATGTAACATTGAGGTAATTCTATGTACTATTAGTAATACTGATAATAGTATTACTACATACAATAAAAATTATAATCGTTTATTAGTATTATTATTAGTAGTATTAACATGAGATATATTGGTAATGTAAGTGTGGAGATTTCGGGGGTGTGTAACTCACAGGAGCAGTAGACTAGATCGGGATGAATAGACTGAATTCGCGGTATAGATGGAGTATAGCCATATATTTACTAAAGAGAGAATAGGAGATAGACCGCACATAAATATATGTCAACACGCACGTCCATGGGTGCAGCCATCTTGGATTATGCTATCACTGCTGCTGCTGTCTGTCGGGCGAAAACAAGGAATATTTACGTAGGCATGAGTTGCCTGGGATGATGCAATCGCCGTGCCCGGCACGGGTTGCCTAAGATAATGTAATAATCGTATCAGCAACGGGTTGCGCCAGCAGGTGAAACGATTGCACCACAGTGATTGCGCCAGCGAACGAAATCTGCGTGCCAGCTATAGGTATATAAGGCGCACCGAACCGAGCAGCGTTAGAGTTATTTTTCAGGTACAGGCTAGGTAGGTAAACAAGAAGAAGGAAGAAGACAAAGAGAGAGGGAACGGCAGCGTTGTAGCGAGAGGATAGATACTCAGGTTTTTTTAAGGTGAGTGTAAACCGAAGCCGAACAGGAGAGGGGAATAAAACGAGAGCAGCGAAGAACGGCATTCTGGTTAGGTAGAGCTAGGAGCGACTACGAGGGAGATACCTGGGAGACCGCTTAGGTCCACGCGAGGCGAGGACGAACGTGAGGGAAGAAGACGAAACCGGCGACGCGTAAATATTAGACGAGATCGATAGAAGGTCCGCTGCATATACGAATGCAGGGGAATCATTTGTACACTAGTAACACGCAATAAAACTATAACCGTACCGTAAATCTAATCTCACGGTGTTCTGTTTAACTGGTGCTATCTGTTATCTGCTACGTGACATCACCGTCCTGCCTAATACACCGCCAGGAGCGAACACTGAATCCCAAGAACTGGGACACGCGTTTAACGAAACAACGTCTGTTGAACCGTAGTCGGCCACCCCAGGGGCACTACAGTAAGTAGGCAAATAGTAGTTATAATAATTTATAAACTACAGTACTGCGCTATGATTCGTGTATGATCGATACATAATATTTCTGAATTAAGTTTCATTATATACTTAGATTTCCAACTTATAATTAACCGTGATTAAATTGTCTAACAAAAATATTGCAAAGCGCTTGGTTTTTTTATTAGCTTATGAAACAGATGGAAGAATCCGCATGTGCCTCAGCTGAAAATAATGATACTGCATATGACGGAGACGGTGAATTCGATAATGCTGCTGATGATGGTGAAAACGAGGTACAATTAAGTGCATACGTACATGTATATATATACATATATATATATATGTGCGTATTGTTACAGTAAGCATACGTATAGCATAATTAATAGTTATGTATAGAATCCAGTCATAATATTGTGCGTATATGCTTTCTTAACCAAACACATTTTATTTTCTAGATTCAGAGTGATAAGTTAGATGTCGCCGTCCAGTGCAGGTTTAGAGTGAAAGTACGTAACAATCATTTTGCCTCTACATGTTGCACTGCATTATTAAGTTTTATAGTATGAAAATATATAAATGCATAATTTCAGGTTAAACCTAACAGCATTAAAATAGACTGTGCGAATGTGAATGTGTGTTTTACTCTTGTAATTGTGAAAATTAGCTTTTTTGTTTAAAATTATGGTATTAGGGTGGTAATGTGTTTATGTGAGTGGTGTACTTGCATTACAGAAAAGATCAGCATATGTCCAGACGAAGCCTACGGTGAAATCCGTAGGAAGCCAAACAGCTGTCGTTATGGTCGACCAGGGAGTGCAGTGTACACTCATGACGGAATGCCATTCAGAAGCTGAACAGGATGAAGAGGAGGAAGAAATTGGCGAAGACATGGATGATCCTGAAGAGGATCCAGATTATGACCCTCTAACTGATACCCTGGATAACACAGAACTGTAAGAAACTTCTCCTATCTCTCTCTCTCTCTCTCTCTCTCTCTCTCTCTCTCGTGTGTGCATCTGTCTGTCTCTCTCTCTCTCTCTTTCTCTGTCTATCTCTCTCTCTAC